AAGAAAAGAATCAAAATTTATTACCTGGTAATTCAAAACAACATGGAAAAGGAATATGAAAAGACCCTAAAAAGTAGAAGAATAATATTTACATTTCCAATAAATTTCCCCTATGATTCTTTACAAAATAAAATGCAGTATATTTTCTCATGAACTACATCAGGTATGTATCACAAATGAGTATCCATTATTACGTCATAATACCGCTATTGACGTCAAAAAGTAAAAAATATATAGTGCACACTGTTTTGTTTTAAAAATGACAGTTGAACGGCGTAAATTTATGTCAAGTCACCAGAAAAATAATGTAAATATAAGAAATGAATTTAATTTTTTGAAGATTCATGAGGTATATGAACTACAACGCTTCACGCCGGCATATCTATCATGAAGCGCTAACGATCTTCATGAAATATGCCGGCGTGAAGCGTCGTAGTTCACAACCTCATGAATCTTCAAAAATTAAATTCATTTCTTAAATGTTTTAAATTTATATTAAAACAGATTCCTTACAAAAAGAAGTGACGGGTATTTGTCTTAAGTGACCATATTAAGGTATATTAGTAAATGATTAAAACAAGAGAGGGTATCTCAACTGAAACATTTTTTCTTTCCTGAACCGTATTCATTTATTTATTTTGTCTAGCAAAATTAATCAAATTGTACCTGCAAGGAGTTCAATATAGCAAATAGATACTGGAAGAATATAAGATCTTCATTAATTGAGAGAATTCCAAACACCCAGGTCAAACCCAGAATGGGAAGCAATGCACACATTCCTCTAACGCCGCTTCTGTAAATGAAAATTAATCAATATCATGACTATTACTTGTTTGTACATCTTAATTTTTTTTAATTTAGTAACATATTTGTCATTTTCCTCAATAAATGAAATTAAGTTTTCAGTAAAAAAAAATTCTTAATATCCATTTTCATTCCAGTCATTTCTTTAAAACATGAATGCCCATTTTCCCTTCCAGTCAGAAAATAGTTCAAAAAATGAATTTTATATACTAATAAACTATTGATCATGCCGTAAATTTATTTATACTTTAGGGTCTAAAGATACGACAAATGTATATGCATTACTGATATCATACAAGCTAGAATATTCACGGGTATCCAAAGAAAGTGAGCATAAAAACTATGATTAAGGTTGTATGGGTGTGAGCATATTACGTAACAAAAATTGGAACGAAAGTTGTAAGAGTTGCATTCAAAATAATGTCAGTAAAAGTGTTTATATCATTAAATAATTAATAATATTCTACATTCAAATTTACTACTTATTTTTTTTCTGATTAAAAATGAGTATCATAATATCTGCATTGTCATCAAGTACGTCTCGTATTTTTACGACAACTGACCCGTTTCCGATCTCCATAGTAACGACAGCTCTGGATTTCCCAAAATGACGAACAACGGAAAATGGGACGTTCCGAGCATATGCCGAGGGCGGCTTTGCCACTCGCAAACGGATTTTTTAAATACAGAAACCAGTCAGAAGCAGAAGTTGATTAGTGTCTATTCAAAAAGCGGTAAGAAAAAAGTATCGGATACATGTAAAACGCCAAACACGGTTACTGGGGCTCAAAATTACACCTGTCCTGTGACCGTGTACATGTGTGCCCATATTTCGACAGTCTATCAGTATCAAGAAGTGTCGGGTTCTTGTATCCCAGAGGCTAGACAATGTGTTAAATAAAAGTTTTTGGAATTGACTGCACAGAATAAGGCCTAATATCAACTAGAAATCAACTGTATCAAGAGATGCCGAGCGATTCCGTAATGTTCATATTTTTTCCTCGAGATATTCTTAGAGTTATTCCCCGTTGTGAAAGTACATAACCCGGCATTTTATATGTAAACAAACTGCTCGGAGATTGCAAAGAAACTAATTTGTAATGTAAGTTGAAGCAAAAGTTTGAAGAAAATTAGATTCAGGTATGGGTAGAAAAGATTTTCTGTTGGAAAATATGTCTTAAAAATTGAATAAATATGATTCATAATACTAACTCAAATTGTGTTGAAATCTTCAAACAAAAACGTGTTAATGCTGCATCTATATTTATGTTCCCCAAACGAAGTTGGGGAACATATTGTTTTTACTCTGTTTCTTATTAAGGTCTTCCGTCTTCAGCGGAAGACCTTCTTGTTATTCTTAGGTTTCTTTTTCACTTTTATTATTATTAGGGTCTTCCGTCTCCAACGGAAGACCCTTCTATTATTCTATTGTTTCTTTTTCACTTTTATTATTATTATTATTATTATTCTTTTTTTTTCTTCACAATTTTTGTGCAGAAGATTTCTCGGAGATGGCTCGACCGATTTTCTTGAAAATTTCGGAGAAGATGTATCTTTATCTAAACCTTATACGTTTTTTTCATTTTTTTGAAATTCACTTCCGGTCGGGAGTTACATGTATCGCCCTTTGATTGAAATTTTGATGACCTCCATGTCTGTGATGGAACTCAATAACGACTCAAGCTAGAAATCTGATTTTTTCAGGGATGATAGAGGACAAAAATGTTAATCTCAACAATCTACAACTGCATATTATAATTTTAATGTCATATGTTACATAAATAGGGGCCACAGGGGGCCAGAATGCTCAATCTTTGACGCTTTATATCTCAAAAGTGGGAAATATTTTGATAAGTAATATTGAACAAAAGATGTTCAAAATAATGTTATGAACAATATGCAACCTTTAGTTTTACGCTTTACGTCCCCTTTAAGGAGTTGAAGGGTTGGCCCCTAAATATTTCTTTTGCAAATAACTCGAAAACGAAAGAGAATCTCTGAATAGTTGTTGAACAAAAAGTGTTCAAAATCCTAAGAGCTTTACGATGAGATCAAGAAAAAGGGGCTGGGCACTCAAATTAAGGGCCGAGAGGGGCCAAAAGTCTTTAATCGATAACTCTTTAGCAGTCAATTTTTTTATATACATTACTGAAGCAAGAATGTTTATCTCAACTATCTACAACTATATATTATGCTTTGAATGTCCTATGGTGCATAATAAGGGGCCATAAGGGGCCAGTATGCTAAATCTTTGACGCTTTTTATCTCAAAAGTGGGAAATATTTTGATAAGTAATATTGAACAAAAGATATTCAAAATAATGTTATGAACAATATGCAACCTTTACTTTTTCGCTATACGTCCCCATTAAGGAGTTGAAGGGGTGGCCCCTAAATATTTCTTTTGCAAATAACTCGAAAACGAAAGAGAATCTCTGAATAGTTGTTGAACAAAAAGTGTTCAAAATCCAGAGAGCTTTAAGATGAAATCAGGAAAAAGGGGCTGGGCACTCAAATTAAGGGCCGAGAGGGGCCAAAAGTCTTTAATCGATAACTTTTTAGCAGTCAATATTTTGTTATACATTACTGAAGCAATGATGTTTATTTCAACAATCTAAAACTATTTATTATTTTTTGAATGTCGTATGGTGCATAATAAGGGGCCACAAGGGGCCAGAATGCTCAATCTTTGACGCTTTATATTTCAAAAGTGGGAAATATTCTGATAAGTAGTATTGAACAAAAAATGTTCAAAATCATGTTCTGAACAATATACAACCTTTCATTTTTCGCTATACGTCCCCATTAAGGAGTTGAAGGGGTGGCCCCTAAATATTTCTTTTTCAAATAACTTGAAAACGAAAGAGAATCTCTGAATAGTTGCTGAACAAAAAGTGTTCAAAATTCTGAGAGCTTTAAGATGATATGAAGAAAAAAGGGCTGATCCCTAATATTAGGGGCCGTGAGGGGCCAAAAGTCGAATTTTTAAGTCTTTATGTTCAATGTCTGTTTAGAGATTATGGAGGCAAAATCGTTCTTCTTCACAATCTTTATCATTATTGTAGAATGAAATTCTCAATCAAAATCTTATCTCATCTTATCAAGAATCGGACGGAAGACCCACTCGTTGCTCGCAACGAGATCGTATCTAGTTATTATTCTTTTTTTTCTTACTGATTTTGTGCACGCGATTTCTCAAAAACGGCTCGATGGATTTTCATGAAACTTTCAGGACTTATGTAACATAACTTGAACCTTATGCATTTTTTTCCGATTTGATGACGTCACTTCCGGTTTGGAGATATTGTCGATTTTATGATTTTTGAAGGGTCAGGTTGTCTCCAGACTTTCTCAATAATGGCTCAAGATAGAATCATGAAACTTTGAGGTATGATAGACCAAAGTCTATAGATATGTATAAAGTATTTCATTTTTTTCGGAAGTGCCGCACGTCGGCGCTCGCTATGGCCCGAAAATTGTCGTATCGCGAATTTCAAAATTTTTAACACCTTTTCTACGATATCTTTTTACCTGGAAATATTTTGTTAAAACATATAGAACAAAAGAAGTGTAGAATTTTAAGATCTTTCAAATGATATCTTGTAAAAGGGGCTGGCCCCTAAAACGAGGGGCCTAGAGGGGCCAAAAGTTTTTACTTTATGTCTCAAAAAGTATTGAAAATTTGTAATACGTCAAAGAAGCAAAGTTGTTCAAAATGTCAAGCTTTATCTATTAGAGTCATCAAAATACGTCCGGCGTCGTCACTTCCGGCCAAACCGGAAGTAGTCGGAAAACGCTTATTTTTGCCGTTCTTGACAGGTTTTTGGATAACATATGTTTCTGGTAGCATAAAAATTAATTTTCCGTCCGTCGGCGTCACTTCCGGTCAAACCGGAAGTAGCCAAAAATCGCTTATTTTGAAGGTTTTTGATGCAAAATTGAAATTATAAAGTCACTGGAGACGACTTAGCTCATTGCTTTCTTTTTTGATGTCACTTTCGGCACTTCCGGTCAAAACCGGACGGAAGACCTACTCGTTGCTTTGCAACGAGCTTTGCTCTAGTTAAGGTCTTCCGTTTCCAACGGAAGACCTTATTGTTTTCGTTCGGTTTCTTTTTCCCTATTATTATTTTTTTTATTATTATTCTTACCGATTTTGTGCACGCGAGTTCTCGCAAACGGCTCGATAGATTTTCACGAAACTTTCAGATCTAGTAGATATCGATCTGAACCTTATTGGAAATTTTTTGTATTGAGATCGTCACTTCCGGTCATGAGATATGTAGGATTTTCTGATTTTCAGTGGGCCTGCTTGTCCTGGTAACTCCTCCTTAATGACTTGAGATATGAAGTTGAGATTTTCAGTGTAGATAAAGAAAGGATTGTAGAAGTGCCATTTTGAGCCTAGAGCTCTGCAGCGCCAGAGGTACCAAAGCTTGCCTGAGTTTAAAAAATGGCTCAAAAATATCTCACGCAATTTGACATATTTTCAATTATATCTTCTTATCTATAAACATTTTGCTTATACATACAGAATAAAAGTTGTCAGAAAATTGACGATCTTTCATCTGATATGAAGAAAAAAGGACTGACCCCTCAAATAAGGGGCCTAAAGGGGCCAAAAGACTTTCATCTATAACTCTTACACTATCATTTTTTTGTTATAAATTACTGAAGCAAAAGTGTTTATCTTAACAATCTGCAACAATATATTGTAAAATTATGATCATATGTTACATAATTAGGGGCCATAAGGGGCCGGAATACTGAAACTTTGACGCTCCATACATGAAAAGAGGGAACATTTTGATAAGTAATATTGAACAAAAGATGGTCAGAATAATGTTGTAAACAATATGTATACTTTGAATTTTGTAAAAAGGCCCCTTTAAGGACTTGTAGGAGTGGCCCCTAAATATTTTCATTTTGAATATCTCCACAACGAATAGAAATCTCTGAATAAGTGTTGAACAAAAAATCTTTAAAATCA